CTGACAAGAGAAAACTGCGTTAACTTCGTTCAGAAACCTTTTACTTTGTAAGTTTTTATTTGGTACTTCCATAGTTCTGTTGAATTTGAAAAGTCATGCGAATTTGGTATTATTGTACGACCTTTGAACTGAGACATGTGATCTCTCGTAATAATTTATACTTTAGATTATAACACACTGAAAAAAAGTACATTTCCAAAACATTGCAGAAGTCAACGACAATTAGCATAATCTACTTGTTACTTAAGAGATCAAACTTTAAAGTATTATCGTGCGACATCTGAATATTTCAACGACTAAACATAGTCGAGTAATTCCAAATGGAGTTGATGATTTAAAGCATCGCTTATTAGGAATAAAAGTATCGAAATCGAAACAAAAAAACGAATGAATTAGCAAAACAAAGCTCTCAAAATGAAATATCCACGTTTTGAACTCTTCCTTTTTACTTAGTTCATCTCATTATTATTTTTACATCCATGCAAAAACAAGTAAACCAGAGTGTAAGCACATATAAACGTGAACTGTCATTGTTATTATTCATTCATTTGTATTTTCAGAAACGACAGCTCACGTCAGTTCTACAATTTTTTGTCAGTTCACGTGCAATTTCAATTCCAAACAAAGCTCTCTTCATTACATAAAACATTAGATACAAGAGGAAAAATGATTCTTAACTTCAGATTGCAACAAATTAACAACTTTAATTTTAGGAAAATGCTGCTTTTATCATTATTGTTTACCTTACCTTACATACTTTATTGTCTAATTGAACGAAATTCTCGCCTGCAGTGTGTGGGGTTAGAGGGGAGATTAACTTGCGATGGAAAACCGTACGGCGGCGCAGATATTGACATTTACGAAAACATTTCCGGTCAATGCAAAGATTATTAAATTACTTCATTAATTCTATGTACAAAATCCAAAATTTAATTAAGAGCTAAATTTTATGCATCTGAAATAAAAGTAAAACACATTACAGAGTATGGGGAAGAAGCCAATTCCGGTCTTATCCAGCAGATCGCTGAAGTAGTCACAAATAACACAGGCCGCTTCAGTTTGTATGGCTGTATACTTGCAGTACCGAACATTACTCCAAGAGTTGAAATTATTCACAACTGCAACAGTAAATCAGTGGTAATCATTAAGAGTTTTATTTAGTTCTATTTTATCAGTTATCAAACATTGTGTGTGATGAAGAGAGCTTTTCAATACATATAAATAACACTTCCCATTCTTAAACTCACAGACATTTAAGCTGTTATTTTGGTAATCATTTAAAGCAAAAAAGTATATAAAATACTGATGCATCACGTAATCACCAGAATTCGGATTCTTAAAGGATTCAAATGAAGATTTTAACATTTGCCACTGATTCATGGCAGTGATTCTGAAAAGTTTTCATCTACATTATATAAGAGTTTCGAGCAGAAATTTTTACAAACATTTTTAAAAATATTGTCCCAATGTTCGCACTTTTGAAACAAATGTTAGCATATTGTACGAACTAAAATATATTAGTACACATTCTTTACAACTATTGTTAACAATCACAGCTACGAATTGACAGAATGAAATAAAATTATTCGACCTTTCCATCTCTCCGATCGGATAGCGATATGATTGAATACTATTATTACTGAATTATGCAGAAAATCTCTATAAATTACACTCACAACAGTTTTCAGTACTGCGCAGTACGGCCTGCAGCACTCATTCCAAGTGGATACGTTGAGGTGGATTCAATCCCAAAAAAATTTTATAACTTGGGTACAAAAGATCTTCGTGACCTAGATGAGAGTATCCACTGCTATCCCTAAATTTTCATGCAAGACAAATAATAAATCCTGATTGAATTGATGTAATCTTTCTCCTTAACTGGGATGAAATCATTTAGCTTTCTAATTATTTTAGTGCAAGTTCTTTTAATTACGGACAAAATATAAATTACTTGAACTGTAGTTGCAAAAGTTCGAGAACGTTGTTGAAGTATATGGCCGAAAAATTTATTCAGAAAAATATCCTCTTTTGATGTCGTCCAACATTTCATCTTTTGAAACCATGTCGAATCGCGAACTCACACTTTATAATTTGCATCTCAACTTTGAATTTTTGTCCAAAAGTAGAAGATCACTCAGACACAGCTTAATCTTATCTGATAACTAATGGTTTTAGACGAAATGCAAACTAGTAGCGAAGACTACAAAGTTTACCCAAAAATGCTTGCACAAAATTTAAATTTCACTACATCAAAGTATAATTTAAATTTCACTACGTCAAAGTGAAATTGACTAATCAGGCAATGTATAAAATTATTGCTAACTGAAAGATATATGAAGGAAAATATAAGATAGAAAGACAATGGTATACATATATGGATGGATTTGATTAAATTGATGTGAGAGATTAGTATTATAAAAATACTTTGGTGTAGTGAAATTTGAATTTAAAAATTGAAAAATTGCAAAATTTTAGAGTACCAAATTGCAATGAAAATATGGAAATTTCGTGCTACCATTACAGTTATTAAATCACGCAGTATTAGGAGATATTCAAAGTTGTCGATTGACTGTGAGCTTGAAGAAAAGTGCCAAATAAGTTAATTTTTCAAGTTCAGTGAAACTATGAATTGGAATGATGCTAGAAAGTATGTTCAAGTTAACATGAATAAAGAACTAAGGTGGACAAAAACAATAGTCATCACTTCTTGCATGATGTGAAACTGAAATAAAGTCGACTGCAAAATGAGTTTTGCTTTAAAATTTGATAATAAAAATCATAGATACATACTAAAAATCCGTGCACTTATTCATATTGCTATCTCTGCGGCCAAAATAACGCATTGTTGATCGTAAAATAATTTTTACCAAAGTATAATAAAATAATAATGAGTAATAATAATAATAATAATAATAATAATAAATTAGTACAAAAGAAATACTAAGTTTGTGTATTAGAAAGATAACAAAACAAAGAACTGAGCAAAGTTTTTACTACTTCTAGGATTTTTAACTTTACTTAGAAAAATCTGTACAAGACAAAAATTAAGCTGTCTAATGCAATGTTAATACATATACTTTGTCCACTAACAGTTGTTTATTTTTCGAATTATGTTTGATTAACTCTATAGTTTGATTAACTATACTTTATGAAGTAATTTTTATTCCAATAATTTTCATCTTAGAATTGAAAATTTAAATAAAAATTTTAGTAAATATTAATCATACCGAAACTTGCTTTGCAAGAATACTGAATAACAGAGCTACAATGTCCTTTGCCAAGCACACAAATTTGATTTCCAAAGACAAATTTCAAATTTTCAAAAAATAAGAGATCATATTTGCACAGTGGGGACCCCATTAATTCTATTCTCAATTACATTCTCATTTCAGTTGATTTATTTTTACCGTGTTGGGTTTTTTGTTTGTTTGTTGTTTATTTGGCTGTATTTGTGTATGTCTGAAGTAATGCTTTAAAGTGATTAAGCTATTAAAGTGTAAGTAAGTAAAAGTAAAGTATTTGAAGAGATTTCTTATGTAGTGATGTGAAGTGTTTACTTTTATTCAGAAATCTGTCTCTCGTGCTGATCTGTATTTTAGTTCTGATTTTGTTATCCATTATTTAGAGATATTCATTCTTTTGAACAGTCGCAGTAAGGATGATTGGTGATTCTGTAATTGCTGAAGATGTTGACAAGTCTGTTACAAAAAGAGAACAGAACAGTGCAGTTATGGTTACTTTACATCCACTGGTAATAATGAATATATCAGAACATGCAACTCGAGTGAAAGCTCAGAACAATGATAGTAAATGTTGTGAAGTGAGATTTCTTTAATGCGTCTGATTTTAATTAGTTTTGTATATAATTTACAATTAGCTACCAAACTTTCGATTTTTAACAGATTTAGTATGATGTATTCGTTTTTTTAAGGTTTATGGTGCAATTTTGGGAAAGCAATCTGGTAGACATGTTGAAATGAAGAATAGTTTTGAAGTCAAATGGAGTGATGAGGGAAAGGGATATGCTGTTATAGATACAGTTTTTCTCTCATTGAGAGAACGTCAATGTAAGCACATTGTGGTTTATAAAAATTTGCATTTATTCAGTTATTGATGTCATCAATATGTTTTTCAAAAAGCTTTTAGTATTAATTGGGAAAAAAATTTAGGTGCAATATTTGATTTGCCATTTTACCTTTGCATACTCTGATAATGCTAGAATAACGTTTTCTAAGGAAATTATGAAAATGTAATACAAGGGAGGTTTTGCCAGCAAAAGTGGAGAGCGAGAAATTCTTAAAAGAAAAACAACTGAATCGAAGTTCAAATGGAAAAAAATTTGTATATCTAAACTTTGTTATTCTTGTAATATATTCGATTCGTGATCTGGAGGTTTACTTTCATGATGAAAGCTGCGTTAATCTTCCTTCCCATATTTCTCGTATCAAGGCAGTTATGAATCCAAGAATTTATTTACAATTTGATCTTAATTTGTATATTCCTCTAAAAGAAGAGAACCATACCTTTTTAGATCAAGAAATATTTAAAGAATTAGATTTTGTTGGGTGGTACACAGTAGGAGGTGCAGCTCCAACGCAAGCAGATTGGGAAGTGCATAATCAGTTTGCTGCAGTTCATGAATCCCCGATTTTGGTGAAACTAGATCCAAACGTTCAAACTAGGAATAAGGTGAAGATTTGTAAGAGTTTATTCAGTATGGTGTTAATTGGATCTGATAAGATTTAGCTGTTGCTGTACAATGAAATGTTAGTTTAGTCAATTTCATGGTTATTTTTGTAAGATAATGGGAATCACATTATCTCACTGGTGTAATGGAAACAGTTTTTTGACAGCACAGTAGTGCTTTATTTATACCACATTAACAATTTTGCTAGATTCCAGTTGCCAATAGAAATTTATGAATCAGTGCATGCTCCTGAAGTTTCCACTAATGATGCAGGATCAGCATCATGGAATCCAGTTAGTTGGTTGCTAGCAAGCGAACGAGCTGAGCGTATTGGAATCGAGCATGTTGCTCAGATGTCAACTTTATCTACAAATAATGTGTCTTCAATAAATACACTAATAATGAACCATGTAGGCGCTATAAATATGTTACAGTCACGACTGGAACTTATCTATGATTATCTTATGGTAAGTTTTCAGTAAATTCGTAAAAAATTGTTCATTAGAGCATCGCAATATGTAATACATCGTCTATTTGTGTTACTATAGAAGTGACATTTTTGATCTACTAAGTTTGATCATTCTATAGATAATAATATGTTCATATTTTCAAAATTTCGTATCATATAATAGTTTCCCGAATTTATATTGTCTTTATGCCTCCCAAAAAGATGTTACTAAAATATTTAGAGTTGCGAAGTTACTGCATGAATACTACAGATAAAATCTTTAATGTCAGATGCTAACAAATTTGTTTTTTATATGAAGTTTTTTCATTAAGTAATAGAGATCTATTTTTTCAGGCAATCCGCAGTGGAGAATTAGCTCGTGATGAAGAAATAATACAAAAAATTGTCCAGTTACTTCGTCGAATACCGATGATGAATTCAGACAAGTTCTGGGAACAGTATACAAAAGTAGTTATTTAATTTGATTAACTGTTTTTGAGATAGTATTCATTACAAACTTTGCTTTGGACAAAATTCATACGCATTAATTTTGCTATTTTTTACCTGTTTCAGCAAAGTCTTGAAGTTAGGATGACCTCGCTCGTTACTGCTCTGACGAAAACCTGTGGTACGCTCAGTGATGTAAGTTTTATATCAAATAAGGACTGTAAGTTAAGATGAGCGTATCTTTATAATATCTTCATATGTTTTGAAATTTAAAAAAGATTTAAGCTTCCTATTGGTTTTTAACATGTTTCAGTTAATAACAAAAATGAATGTAATGTCTATGGAAAAACAAAATTGGTGGATTCCGTCTGGTCGACGAGGTCGCACTTTTCTAGGAGTATAAAGTTTGTATGCTCATCGCTGAATGTATTCTGTAAAAAAAAGGACAAAAAAACTGTTTATTGTTTTTTTTCAATGTTTTAATTTGTCGAGAACGAGATGCATTTTTTTAAGAAGTTTTTAGTTTAATATAGCAATATACATTAAACATTATTTCAATCACGATAGTTCAAATCACAAATCACTTCATTCCTCTGTTTTAAATGTATATCTTGTATATATTCAACATTAAAATTACATGCATCATAATGTCTTTTTAGCTGAAATTTTTCTCTAAATTTGTTTTATTGACAATAGGTTTTTAACATTCGTCTTTATCATTTTTTGCCTTGTCATTGTTTATTTGCTGATCAGCTCTCAAAATTTGAGGTACCTTTATTGTAGATTAGCAAATGAAATTTTTTGAAGTGCTCTAAGTAAGATTTATATACCAAATGAGTGATTATTGTTTGCCATTGAAGCCAGTTTTTTTTAAATTACAAATAGTTATGCTGATTGGTTTCTATAACATCGACCGATTATAATGAAAAGGAATATTTTGATTCATATGGTCTTTCCTTTACTGGTGAAGTGCACATGTCTGTAATAAAGTATATATTGGTTTGAGCTAGAAAGTTGCATGATTTAAGGTATTAGAATTTCATATTTCTTTTTATCTCTGCGTATATGCATTGTCGTCTAATCTTTATTGCACTAAAGGAAAAAATGGGGATTCTGAAATCTTAGGACGGGGTTTTATAGCTCATTTTCAATGCTGTGTGAAAATACAAAGTGCTGATGAACTTTGATAGATTATATCTTTGTAAGCGTTGACTGTTGGAATCAGTAAAGATGATAGGAGGATCTGGGGAATTCATGAAGGTCATTTTTAGGAAATGTTTGCACGTTCAGGGACGGAAATAGTCATGCATCAGATCAGCTTCTTAAAATGTTCTAGATTGCTAACTTCTTCAAAGTGTTTCCGATTTGGTACTCCTGAGAAGGTTATTTCGTACTTTGATTTTTATGATCATCTTTTATATTGCTTCAGAATAAATGATGACAGTCATGAGCGATCAAAATATGTTGCCGTATTTGTTTAATTAAAATAATGATCTGGTTTTTTCCATTTGTGATCAGCACTACAAAGAGTTTGTTAGAGTGGTAAATTAATGTAACTTGGACGTAACTGAAATGTGTTAAAGGGATTGTTTGACGAAGAATTGCTAAAGCATCCATCCGGTTTCAAGTTATTAAATGAAAGAGTTAGGAAGCGTTCCTTTGAATTAGTGGATCAGGTAGGAATTCCATCTCTCCAATTGTGATTAAATTCCGACATTTTCTTATCAGTTTTCTCATTTACATCTTTCTATTTTAAAAAATGCTGTGTTCACTCCATGCAAAACGTAAATGGAAGCGGCAAATTAGAATCCCTTTTGTTTACTACATTGTTTTGACAAGATTAGTCATTTCTTTCAAGTGATTATTAGTCAGTTTTTCAATAAGTAGTCACTGTATTTTGCACCAAGTAAATTACTCTTGTCTGTACTTCAAGTATAAATTTTCTAAAAAAGATCATCGGTGTTTTGCGGAGAGTTAAGGCAATGTTTGCATGTCTACTGCACATTTTGGTCATAACTATGCATAATTCTAGATTGTCAATAGAAAGTGTCAAAAGAAAGTGGTTGCAGTTTTTGATGATTTGTCAAATGAAATATGCAACGCTGCTGATTTGGTTAAGTTTTCGATTAATATTTAGCTTTCTTTTTCGTTCTTAATGTAGATTTGAATATGAAGGAATTATTTGCAACTTTTGTGGAACTAGTATTTTTAGAAGTGAATGGGTAGGCATTTTAGATTCGTAGATTTAAATTGACAATAGCATTTGTTTTGTATTCGATTGATTGTTAGATCTGATGGATCATGCTCATTCGTGAAGATATATGTTTTTCTTGTTCTCTTTGTCACAGAAATCTCTAGATTAGTGTTTCTGAAACTTTAATTAAAAATAGTCAGAATGTGAAATAATTTTTGAAGTAATTGTTTAGTGCGTTACTAGGCGTTATATAAGTAATATAGTTCTCTTGTCACGAATCTGAAATGCATATTTCGTGTTTCATAACACTAATTTTTATAATGTAATTTTAGGCTGAGTGTGTTAGAAATTTGCATTCAGTGAAAGAATTTAGTGCAGCAGCTCAAGAAAGCATGCAAGATTTTACAGAGCTGGTAGAAAGGTATGTAAAAAGATTAAAATCGAATTGGCTAGAAGATAATTTATTCTTCATGATTTAAAGAATATTTTCTGAGCTTTTCTTTTGCGAACGTTTGAAAATTTAAAGCTCAGTACTTCTAGTTTAAATACAAGATGGGACTTGTATGAGGCTTTGCGAAATTCACTTGCAGTCGAAAATGATATTTTAACAAATGTTGACAAGCGCACTGCATTATTGTTTCTTCATGATTTTGAGCAGGCCGGAGTCAATTTAAGTCAGGCAGAGGTATTATTAAACTTAATAGAATTTATCACAATCGAAATGTATTACATTTTTCCGAAATTTAATGCAGATTCATAAATTTTCTATCTTTTTAATTTCTTCTTGTTACTTACATTTGTGGAAACATCCTTATTTTCTGGTTTTAGAAAATTCCAAGATTTTTGTTTGATATTTTAACATCATTTGACGAAGTTTTCGTTTGCTTAAGGCTTGTTTTCTGCTTTAGAAGGATGAATATGTCAAACTCAGTCAAGAAATTTTCGTAGTTGGTTCTCAGTTTGCTCATGGTGCTGAGCAACCCGTTAAAGTTGCACCTTTTTATAGTAAAATGTACCGAGTGAGTCGAAGTTTATATTCGCCTAATGCACTGACAGTAGATCGGTGCACAAGGCACTGGTCTTATTCTACGTTCTATGCACATAACGAGGACCAGGTATGGTATTCTAGTGCTTTTTTTATTCAAGACTTTTCCGCTTGAAAATTCTTTATTTATTGTTTGAACAATGAGCAATTTATAGTTAAAGCTGTTCTATTTCTTTTTAAATCAGATTTCATCAGAAATAAGATTTAATAATTCTCTTATTTAACATGTTTCAAATTTTTGACGTATTACTGTTTGGGAAGGACGATAAAATAATTTAGTGTTTTTCTAGGAGAAGCGGCTTCGTCGGCTCATTACATGTCGACATTTATTAGCTCGACTTACTGGACATGAATCGTTTGCCCATCGTGCGCAACAAAATTCTCTGCTTGGTTCATATGAAAGTGCTCATGATTTCTTGATTGAAGTCATTAAGGTATCTTTGTTCATTCTGGAAATTAATCTCATTTTATTTCTGTCTTATTTTTTTACAGCTCTGTGTAACTGCAAAACTTTTATTATCAGAAATGAGTGTGTTATATGCATTTCTGATAATAATAATTTTTAATCTTTAATCATGTAAACTGAATTAAATTTTTATATGAGCTAAGTTGTTGCTAACTTGTCCTAGTTCCGTGTTTTCAAGGAGTGATAACATTAGAAAAATTGTTTTGTATTTGTTTTGCAGTCTTGTCAGCCAGCAGCTGAACAGGAGTTAGCTGTATTAGCTGATATTTTAGCTCAGGTAGAGTCGAAGCAAGAAAATTTGTGTGAGTCAGACTTAAATTATTTATGTTCATTATATCGCGAAAATGCCTTTGGTCAATTACACCATCTTTCAAGGTATTTTTTTAGTGGTACGAAATTGTTGTGTTTGGTGCATTCATCATAATAACGAGTACTATTTTTCTGAAATTTAATAGTCTGTACTGCGTTTTTTTGATTGTTATAACCACTTATTTTCGTTCATATTTGTGTTGCTATTCATTAATTTTTTTCATTTTCAGGTATTTCTCGTTTCGAAGTTTATTGAATGGTTTTGAATTACTGACAAAACGACTGTACAATGTTTCATTATCCATTCAAACGCCAGTTGCGGGGGAAATTTGGCCCGGAAATGTTATTAAACTTGTTAGTTTAGTGATTTCTGTTCATACTATGAAATAAAATTCTTTTACTACGATCAACTTTTGTTTTCAGTTGGTTGATTTTCTATAATAAAGCAATTTTTTTCAACACTAAATTTAATTTTTGTTTATATTATGGGCGCCTACTGCTAGGAATTTTGGCTCGTTTTTAGATGATATAAATTTTTGTGACAGCAGACAATACAATGATCATTATTCAATACTATCTTTCTCACATTGCTTGCAGGACGTTTTTCAAGACACTCAATTTCTGGGAACGATTTATATTGATATAGAAAGTCGGCAAACAAAAGCGGCAGGCGATTGTCATTTTACTGTCCGTTGTTTCAAACAGGTTTTTATAATTTGCTTTTCAGCTATCAACTTTTCAAAAAACATTCTTGCATATAATGAGGGAGTAGAGAATTCAAAAAAGTAAACTGGTTCATGCTGCATGCTTCCGAAATTTCTAACAAAAACATATTTTACACAGCTTTTAAACTTAGATCTGATTATCGTTTTTAACTAAATAATATGCGATTTAGCTAGACAATGGTTTGTATCAGACACCAATCGTTGTTCTATCATTATCGTTAACGAAGGGGATGGAAACAATTGATAAAGTCTATTTGAGTCCTCATCAAGCTGAGAACTTTTTCCATGAAATGGGTCATGCAATGCATTCAATGCTTGCTCGCACTCAGTATCAACATGTCTCCGGTATTGTTAATCATCTCATTCTGTAACCAAGTACTTAGTTTTGATTGTTAGTGCAGACAAGTTGTACTGTCTTGTAAGTTTATATCTTTCATAGGAAACATTTTTCGCGAAACATTCTTCAAATTGTCATTGCATATATAAAATTTTAAGGAACTCGTTGTTCAACTGATATGGCAGAAATTCCATCGAACCTCATGGAATATTTTTTCAATAACATTGATGTTTTGCGTGAAATCGCAAGAGATAGTCGAGGACGTTCCATAAGTGTTGAAGATGCAGCTTCTTTAATAACTTCTCGATTTTCTTTCACCTCACTGGAAATGTTACAACAGGTCTTTGTTTACTGAACAGTTTAAAATTTTATTAAGCTTTGAATTCTTAAAATGTTGCCTTGTTTTTCTCTTTGTTTTTAATGAGTGTTATTAAGTTCACACTCTATACAGGCTGATTCACGACATTTATAAGGTAAAAGCTGTTAGTGAAAATGCGTCAATGAAGTAGAATGAAGTCATTGAGAGTTGTGGTTTGGAGTTGTTTTGCATGAATAAGTTGAATGATGTCTGTTGTAATAAAAAACTGTGCTTGAATAAATCAAAAAATTTTAATTATTGTTTTCCTAGAAATAAAAAGTTGATTTTGTAAATCTTTTCTTTTCATCAACTACTTTATACTCATCTTTTCATTCTGTAAGTTGTCATTATTTTTATCAGACTGTTCTTCAGGCCGTATATAGTCTTTTCGATCTTGAAGCTCATGGTTGTAATGCGGAAGCAATAATGAATGGTCGCATTACATCAACCACTTTATACTCATCGATTTGGTCTCTTGTTTTTCCACAAGTTAAAAAAGAAGCAAATTGTGCTTGGCATCACAGGTTTTTTTTAAAACCCCTATAATAAATTGTAACAAAAATGGATTTTTTTAGTTTTTAATTTTTATTTTAAGAAGTTTGGTGATAATGGTTTGATTTTAGATTCACGCATTTAGTACCATATGGTGCAAAGTATTATTCGTATTTGGTTGCAAGAGCTACGGCATCCTTGATTTGGAATGCTCGATTTCGTGATTCCCCGTTTTCGATGAATAACGGTGCTGCTTGGGAAAAGGTAAATATTCTCTAATAGGTCATTTTGTCTGTCTTATTTCTTATTTGTTGAATTACTTATGTCTAGTATTAATATCGGGAGAAAAATGAAGATGCTGTTCAACATGTTCTTTCTTTTTTTCATATTGACAAGTAGATTCGAAGCAAGTTAGTGAAATTTCTATTTTTAAACTCTTAACAAGAAAAAAGTCTGAAAAAGTTTTAATTTGCTTGCTAATTTATTCAATGTGGAATGGTTCTATAATGAACCGTCATTTGAGAAAATTAATTTTCGTCATTATTCTTTAGGTGTTGTCAAAAGGTGGCTCTGTACCTCCAGCAGATCTTTTATATTCAATTCTTGGATACTGGCCAACATCGCAAAGTCTGGCATCAGCTTTGAAAGAAGAATCCGATCATACATGTCAACGCTCAACTATCCATATATGAAAAAAATTGTTGAGAATCGGGTTATGGCAGAGATTTGGAGCATATTTTGAGACGGTTTTTTGCATAGTTTTTTGCTTCATGTTTTTTTTTCAATTTATTGTCATTTCATATGTTATTTTGCATCTTCACGATATGTAGTGGTTCGGTGAAAAAATATAAGATCTTGTTGTTCTTATTGCTTTTTTAGCATAATTAAAGTCGAGGTAATTTTGGTGTGCCAAAATGAATTAGGTTTTGTGATACCACGAGTTCAAAGTGCTTGAATTTTTTGTTGATTTTTTTTGTTGATATTTGAATATATCTATTATTCTACCTGTTTTAATCTTTTCCAGATAACAATATTACTCTGAAATGATTGTGTCACTCGCTTATCTATTATCTTCTGTATAACAGAATAGCATGTCATTAATATGAGCTTCTATCATTTTGTTTCATTTGTGCTCATCTTTTGCCTCTAATTAATCACAACATTAAGTCATTTTCGAACTAGAAATAATCGAGATTTCATATTGGTAAAGCACTCTCTTCAAGTTTTATAATTGTTTATCATGATTTTTAATGCCATGCTATTGTCCGTGATAGTGATTTTTGAGAATATAGGATAGTTTTTTCATAGGTGTTATTGCTGCTTACTTTAATTTGCACTAGAATTTTGTTGCTACTTCGGCAAGCAAAAATTCTTTCGTTACTTTGACGTTAAGTTGAACTTTTCAAATTTTTGGAATGAGAAACTGAATCAAATAGTTGCGTACTATAAATTTACTTTGTGAACATTTTATGTTGTGTCGAGTAATTCTTCATGTTACTTACTTTCATTGTCATGATGTTATTTGTCAAATGTTGAAAAAACTTGTAACCAGTTTTATACGTTTTCAAGCTGCACGTATACTCACATATGTTTATAATGAGTTCATGAATTTGTTCATAAAACTGATACGTCGATGATCGACTATTTTTGAAGATAAATTGATGAGTGAAAAGGTGAAATAAATATGCATCCTTGCATTTGCCATGTGTAGATTTTTGATGTGTGTGATGGGATTTACTGCATTTGTGGACATCTAGGCAACATTTTTTTGATGATTAAAAAATGTGTATTTATTTATTAAACTTAAATAGCATGGACGTAATTAATAATTAAGCACTAGTATACAAGCTGTAGAATTTTTGCGTCGTGCAGATTGAAAGCAGGAGTTTTTTCTGGATGAGAATGAGGTTTTAGATTTCCAAAGAATTTTCGAATTTCTTCAAACCAGATGGGAGCTCTATTTTTTGGCACGTTTTACTGCTGAGTAATTCATTTTCTTCTTTTTTGGTTTTTTTTTTTGCTCAAATTTGAAATAGTCCTTCGTTTGCAAGTTACTTCAGTTTTTTTGCAAGATAGTAAAATAGCTGGTTCTACTGACTAACCTTGAAGACTCAAACTACTTTGTTTTTTTGGGTGTTTGGTTTTCATCTCACATTTTTCACTGATTGAATCTGCTTTTCAAAATGAAAAGAAAAATAAATGTTGTTTTTAGAAAACACGAACGTGTTTTTTCTTTTGCGAAAAAATCAGTTCAACTATTAGTACTATACTCAAGACAAGTTATTACTAACAAGGGGTTATTGATTAATTTTTTGCCATTTCTGACAGTTTTTGAATGTTATTTGCATCTCAATTTCTGAAGCTATTTGATGCCATAGTGTTATGGATCGCATACTACTATCATCATTTATTATGATTCAGATTACGAGAAATGTTGAGGTTAGCAACATCTTTACTCGTTTTATTTGCATTCTCAAAGTAAAATGGCGGCGAAAATTTAAATTCAATTTATACGAATTGAGCTGAGACCTAAGTGTAGTATAGCTGATACTTTCTGTCTGGAATTGCTATTTTTTGTTCTTCACTGCTGAAATTTCCAGAGATGCTTTTGTTTATTTATTGATTTTATTCTCGAAAGCGCTTGTATTTGTTTATATGGCAACGATTGAAGAGAAAACTTTTTCCCGAAAAATTTGAATCAATCTTCCAAGTTGATTTTCCTGTGAAGTTTGCGTTATAATATGAGATGGGAGATGACTCTTCGTGATATTTGTCTCGCAGGGAATGAAAATGACGAAGACTTTATCACAGTTTCATATATGTTTAATTAGATTATTTCAGAAATGGAAGTAATTTGATTATTTTTAACTTTATTCAGAGCTGATTAATCTTCTTAGTTTATTAGTTTTTCGTATTTTGAAGAGCACAGAGAAATGGATGAGTGAAAAATGATTAGAATTGTACATTAAAGTTTGGTTTGCGCAGTAAAGATAATGCAAAAAATTAAATTGATAATAATTAGTTTGAAATAACAGAAAGAATGATTTATCTGCTTCATTAAGGAGTAATGCAAATCGAATTCGGCTAGAATTATTGCCAAGCAGGAGAGAGATACACATAGTACATCTAGTGCTGAGAAGGTGACACAAATTTGGAATTTATGCGTACGTGGACAGGATTTAGTGCTATCCACTTGATAATATTGGGCAAGGACAATAATGTGCATCTGGTCCTGGAATACCACGCGAACCAGACTGAAAACAAGCTTGTTACTAAGACAAAAACATTGTAATGAACTAAATTATAAATATTTCTAATTGCTGATAAGATTATGTTCAATTAAATAATATTCAATACATTACATACCATTCCTGGGCGTCCGTCTTTACCAGGTTTGCCATCAAGACCAGGTCGACCAGGTGCACCTGCTTCACCACGTATACCATCATTGCCACGTATACCAATTGGTCCTGGTTCTCCTCGAGAACCACGTGGTCCTTTAGGTCCTTTGGGACCTGCTGGACCAATACCTCTTTTGCCATTGCGTCCATCTCGTCCATGCTTTCCTACTGCTCCTACTGGTCCAGGTTCTCCTACTTCCCCAGGTGCTCCGATTAGTCCTCTTGGTCCATTTTTCCCATTTCTTCCCGGCAATCCACTTTGTCCATTCGGACCTTGTTCACCTTCTAATCCATCCACTCCTGGCAACCCTGGTGCTCCAGGAGGACAAGTTATGCATCCACCTGGTATATGATAAGTCGCTAGAAGTGCTGTGCCTTCCACTCCTTTTGCACCATCGATTCCAGGTATACCGTCTGGGCCTTTTTCACCTTTATCACCTGCAGGGCCGGGTGGACCTCTTGGACAGTTCGTTGGCTTATGGCCTGAAATGCTCACAATTACAACTGTAAATAGTATATGAAATAGTATTAAAGAATGACATTACTCCCAAACATACCACATTTGTTGACTTGACGTTTGATTCTTCCCATAAAAACTTTGCTAATAATGCGCTGCCGAGTAAAATCTATCCCGCTTGGTTTAGCGTGAAGTTGCACAATTTTCGTCCACGTATCATCCACTACCACCTAGAATTGCATAGATTAATTACATCACCAAATGAGATCACTTTCAAAATTGGAAGTCAGTACTGAATACTGATATACTGGATTAATACATATGTATGCACTCATACATGTAAATAATTTCTCTTTCATCCCTTAAAAATATTCAAAAACAATAAAAAATGCAAAATATCGTTGATATAAACTTAATGACAACAAAATAATACGATTAAGAGGAAGAATACAAATTGAAATGTAAAAGTGACGAATAACCAAATGTTTAAAATGTTTCTGTTCAAATGAAAAGTAACCAGATCACATCAAATTGATAGTGTTGCCATAAAAAGAAGTTAGATAAAGTAAGGGGTTACTTTAGCTCATTACTAACTTATATATTAACTCATGAACTATAAGCTCAAGCTCATGAATTATTATTGATTGTAAGTGTTCATGAAAGACTTAAATATAACCTTAAATTGTTCCATTTCATCCATTACATCATCATATAAATTGTTGATATCATTGAAAATCATACTAACGGCAATTAATGATAAAGTAATCACGCATACACTAAGACTGATTGCAAAAGCAACTGCTATTCGGATATCCATTTTAAATTTCCTAAAAGATAGTAACTATAGAATGTCATTTGAAAAATATTTACATATGTTATTGAATTAATAAAATTAAATTACAGAATAATATTTATAATAATAAAATAATAAACATTCTTAGTTGGGAATGTTTAAGATTTTTAACAAGTTTGTTGAAAAAAATTTTTGAATTTTATGACAGAATTGTATTCGTTGATAAATAAGAACTGTAAATAAATTTAAAACAAATGTAATACTACCATCATTCGAGAAAATATAAGGAATCAATGTAGAGATAAAATGAAATGATTGATGGCAACAATTTTTTAGTCAAATAATTAAAACTGTGACAAAATTAATTAATTTGTAACACAAAGTGTAAAAATTTAGTCAATAAATAAATTTGCATAGTATGTAAATTTGACAAACAAATTTAATAATTTAATTTGATAAACAAATTTACATACTATGCAAATGATTTAAAACTGATTTTGTGTTTAATTCAGAAGTAAATTTTTTTTGAAAGCAATGAGCGAAATAATTTTTTATTTAAAAGATTTTAAACAAAATCACTTTGTTATTATTAATTTATATACTTCTTTATTACTCATTCATTTTTTGGTTTTAGTGCTTTATTTACTTTACAAACGCAATTTTTTTCAGAGTATTTTTATTCAAACATTAATTTTTTAGAATACTTTACATCTAATAGTTTCTTATTAATTAATTTTTTTGTCATTTATCATAACCATTAAAAGTTATTGCTGGTATAATCTCTCAATCAAAAATTAATTCATCTCATCTCAGTTCAATACAACCAGTAATTAAATCAATCAAACTTTCAGATTAAATTTCGCACTTCATAGAACAAATAAATTATCCATAAATTTGATATAATGATTTATCTCTTCAGCAAATGACCCGCTTTGAGAAGAGGTCATATTTACATCTCAATAAAGTTTATATCTTCAAATTCAAATAAGAGTAAAATTTGCTGACAACTGTTGATCCATACCAGTAAAGTTACAACAACTTATTCCATTTTATGTTTCAACTTTGATTCCAAATTTCTTATAAATGTACTAGTTTCATGAACTGGTTTTTTTTACTTCTTAAATTAATGCTCCTTTATTTCCTAAATTAGTTAATTATCATTTTAGCTCAATAAATTTCGAATTTTTTCAGTGCGTTAAAATGTTGTTTTTTTGATATCCTTGCAACGCTTAAATAAACAATTAATATTAGCTATCTAAATACTCAATTTTCAAATATATTTCATATAAATATTTTCCATAATAATACTTTCCATATAAATTTATCATAAAATAATAATTAAAAATGAGAAGTTTCATGACTAAAACTAACAATAAAAGTATAAACCCAAAAATTATTTATATTTATTTTTAGAGCTATAGATTCTGACTTAGCATGTGACAATATTCGCTAACATCAGTTTATCAACGTTTTACTTCATAGCAATTTAATTATTAGTGCGAGCAAACAGTGCAAAAAGTTCAAACTGTTTCACTGTTCGCTTGCACCAAAAATTAAATTTGCACATTTATACAAACAAAACTTACAAAAAGATTTATACTAGTCATGCAAATATTTCAAGAACTTTCGTGCTTACAAACATTTTAAATTCAAATAAGTCTGAAGAATTAAAATACATTTAAGCAAGAAACTTAGCAATCTTTAGTACTTCAAATTTGAAAATCATGCAAATTTAAATATACTTAATAATCAAAATTTGTTGTGCATTTATGTAAAATATAGAAAAAACTAACTTAAAAGCATTGAAGCATTGCTTTCGTCACAGTTTTAACAATTACAAAATCGAAAATAATAGAATTTTTAGAATAACTTACACATTACTTCAGTAAATAGAATAGTTAAACTTGAATTAATATCTGACAGTAAACAGAATTTACTTCAGTAAATTTACATGTTGCTGAAGTACTTGTGAAGATATCACAACAACAATGTGAGATATGATGGGGAGATATGTATTGTCGAAAAATTTCATCTTATTATTGTTAATTCGATTTATTCAATTAAGTGATTTAAGATTTGGAAAATTGTTTTGAATCAATTTCAAAAAAACTATTTGCAAGGATTAGCTTTAAAGATTGATCGCCTGAATAACAAATTATATAAAAACTGAACAAAAAATTGATCATTTAAAAATTAAACAAAATTTGAAGGTTTTAATTTAATAGATTAACAATAATATGCATACACATGCGAGAAATTTACATGCATCAGGTTTTACTGATAGCGAAGCAATACAAAAATAGTTATAAAATAATTTTGTTTTATAAAAGTTTTATAATAAATCAATTGTCAAAACTAGTTGTTGAATTAATTATGATAAAAAAGATTCTAAAAATTGTTTAGATAGAAATTTGATAATTACTTTTGATAACATTTAATTGATAAATTTTCCTATCAAACCACCAAATGACATTGACAAGCAAATAGAAAAAGATAATTAGACAAATAAATCTTTCTAATTATTCAATTTCAATTTTATAATAGTTATAAACCTGAATCTCAAAAAAATTTGCAAATTAGAATTGCTATTTGCAAAAAAAAAGTTACAAATTGTAATGCATAAATTTAAATGGAAAAAAGATGAGGAAAGATTAAAAATAATAGTTTTTATTAATAATTAAAAGTTATACAGATTTTATTACTTAAAAAATTATGATAAGATTTGTTTCAATTTAAAAATGTGATAAAAACAGAAAATTATAAAATGTTATAATAATAAAAAAGCTAAAAGAAATTTGACCAAAAATAAGTACTTTTATATAAAGATTTGAAAACTTAAAAGCAAATTAATAAGTATTCATATGTTATTCACAGCTAATGCTTACTTTCTGCTATTATTATTTTTTGATTTAATTTATTTGTTACAAATATAATTAGTAATTGTAATATTTATATGAATAACTGAAATTATGCATAAAGATTTGAAAACTTAAAAACAAATTAATTACTATTCATATGTTATTCACAGCTAATGCTTACTTTCTGTTCTTTTTTTTCTGATTTAATTACTCTATTACAAATATAATTAGTAATTATTTAGTAATTGTAATACTTATATGAATAGATAAAATTACTAAAAAACAAAACAAAAGTAAACAGTAATTCGAATAAGTAATTGCAAAAGAAATAAGCAAAGAGCAGTAATTGCTTGAACAAAAGAAAAGAGCAAATTATTAATTAATATGCATTGAAAAAGAAAAGCGCAAAATAATCATTTGATATAAATTGGTAATTACAATTTTGGGAAAAAGAAAAACGCAGGCATCTATCTATCTGCTTGTTTTTTCTAACTATTTTTTGCATTTTACTACCCTTACAATTTACTACTATTCTCGTCAACACGTTATTTTGTCAATTCTTTGCTCAAAAAATTATTACGGTGGTTACCAGTTTGAAAGAATAATAATTCATGCATTTGTGGTGTGTATTACGAGGATACAAAATGCCAGGCAAATAAAAACAAAAAACAAATTTAAAAAAACTATGAAATGAAAGAAAATTTTTGCAGAAATTTTCTTTCATTTCAACTTGATTTACATTGGTAAGTAATTGTTAAATTTTTCATTAACAAAACCAAACCATTGAAATTACATTTTAAAGTAATCTAAGAAATGAAATGAATAAAATTGTTGCACAATAATTTATGTTAATCAACATGATTGTATTTGATTTTTAATTTTACTACCATAAATAATACCTTCAAGTAAAGGTATTTCATTGGTTGCTTACAGCTAAATTTGAATGATTGTATTCAACTTATGAAAACTTGAATTAGATTTACTTTATTTTTGATCCAAGTATGATATTATTTTATTAAATAATTTATCATATCAAAAGTGATAAATTGCTTTACTTGCCGTCATCAAATTTAAATAAAACTGATAGTACTAAGTTAAAAATAATTATTTGATATATTTTTGAATAATTCTTGATTCTTTTACATAAAAGTATTGAAAAAGTCGTTGAAAATCATAAGCTCAATTATTGAATAATCTTATTAATTGGAAAAATTTCATTACACATTTATTTTATTACTTAAAAAATTGGTTAATAATTGAAAAACTTTAAGAAATGTACAAAAATTGACACTGGAAATCAAAATTTCATGAATTCAATTTAATATTACGATAAGTAATAAACTGATAAAATTTAGTGCACATATTATTAAAACAATATGGCAAAAGCGAGAACAAATATCAGTTCGAATTTAAAAACAATAAAATGAAAAAGTGTAAAAATGTTCAAACATATTAATCCATTCACTGAAATAATTAATTCTTAAATTACTATGAATACTTGAATTGCTCGATTTGTAAAACTTCAATATTGCTATGCAAAATGACCAAGTTTGTGTTTTATAATTATTTTTTTCTGTATTTTTGCGTATTTTTTGCATGACAAAATTTTTCTTTTTTTTTGGAAACTAGAAAGTCAGAAAAAGGAATAAGCTTCCGTGGAAAAACAATTTAAAAAGTTAGAAAACTTTTTACTGCAATACAAAACTTGTATTTGAAATGAAAAAAAGATCAACAAATAAATGAGTACTTTCAAATAAAAGTATCTGTTAAGTTTCTATATCAAATTTTATTTGCAACTTTTACTCAAGCAAAAAGTCATATCAAATTAAATTATTAAATTTGAGTACAAAATTATTCTGAAAGATTTTTTAAATAAATAAGACTTTAATAGCTATATTCGTTTGTTTCTTCAAATTAATAATTAGGCAATTAATTATTTGAAGTTTAATTCAATTAAAATCTGAATATCAAAATTAATATGATATAGATGTGAGAAGGAAGCAGTTCTGCATAGCACATAACAAAATATTATTTAATGAATAGTCATTTTAATTCGTAATATTTTCAATAAAATGCTATTTTTTTATATGAAACTTTGTAAGAAGTTTACTTACTGATAAATAGTACACAATTCAATAATAAATATAAAACTGCTATGTCTTTACA